AAAAAAAAAAAAAAAAAAATACTTTTTTTCTCTGTGGATATATCACCCATTTGATGTAAAACTTAAGTTCATTTTTCAGTTTTCAATTTTTAGGTATTAGTTTTTCTTAAACTTCATTTTGGAATTATTTTAGGCTTATACAGAAAAGTTACAACAACAAAAAGATCCCCAGAGTTTCCATATACCTTTCAGAAATTATTACACTGGAATTTTTTTTTGAGATGGTTCTTGGGACTTGCTGTCACCCAGGCTGGAATGCAGTGGCTCAGTCATAGCTCACTTCAGCCCCAACGTCCTAGGCTCAAACAGTCCTCTTGCCTCAGCTTCCAGAGTAGCTAGGACTATAGGTATGTGCCACAATACCCAGCTAATTTAAATTTTTTTTTCTTTGAGAGACCAAGGTGGGCAGATTGTCTGATCTCAGGAGTTCGAGATCAGCCTGAGCAACATGGCAAAACCCTGTCTCTACTAATAATACAAAAAAATTAGCCAAGTCTGGAGGTGCGCACTGGGAGGCGGGAGGTTGCAGTGAGCCAAGATCTCACCAGTGCACTCCAGCCTTCACAACAGAGCAAGACTGTTGGGGAAAAAAAAAAAAAATTTTTTTTTTTTTTTTTTTTTTTTTTTTTTTTTTTTTTGTTTTTTTTTTTTTTTTTTTTTTTTTTTGTGGAGACATGATCTCTATGTGGACCAGGCTTGTCTCAAACTCCTGCCCTCAAGTGATCCTCCTTGGCCTCCCAAAGTGTTGAGATTACGGGTGTGAGCCACTGTGCCCTACCTACAGTGATATTCTAATGACAATTTTTCTTTTCCTTACTTGTTCTACATGTAATAATTGGAATTCTTCTGTAAGGAAGAGCTGTTCCTTTTCTCCCATTGATTTATTTGGTTATGTCTGAAATAGACTCATGGATATTTTATTTTTTGGGTTATATTTTAAAGGATTACTTATTTCTCTCTTTTTTAAAAATTTATTTGAGCAGGCCGGGCGCGGTGGCTCACGCCTGTAATCCCAGCACTTTGGGAGGCCGAGGCGGGTGGATCACGAGGTCAAGAGATTGAGACCATCCTGGNGGATGGTCTCGATTTCTTGACCTCGTGATCCACCCGCCTCGGCCTCCCAAAGTGCTGGGATTACAGGCTTGAGCCACCGCACCCGGCCTTTTACAGACTTTTAAAGGACCGGTGAAGCCCTTTGTTAAACCTCTCTATTGTGTGTTAGCTTTCTTTCTCGTTTATTTCTTTCTTTAATGATTCTTTGTGTTTATTTTGTTGTTATTTTTTTAATTTCTGTAGATGGATGTGTAAGTCATTTTCAGCTATTCTTCCTTTTCAATTATATGCCTTTAAGAATATGTTTCCACCTAGGTTAGCTGTATTCCCTGGCTCTATCTGTGATATCTGCATTGCCATCCAGTTTAATGTATTTTATAATTTGCACCCAGGTGATGCAAAATCAAGCTACAAATGATAGCTGACTTACTTATGGCTTGTTCCTCCTGACTCAGAAAGTGACGGCCATTGGGGTCTCAGCTAAAAGTGAGGAGGTGGTTTACCAACATCACCACCTTTGTTCAGCTCTGAGATATGGCTTTCATCTCTAGCGGCGTCACCAAAACACAACTTAGTTTTACAGCTGTTTCTTTTCGGCTAGGCATTCTGAATAAAAGCGGTTTGAAGTCCTAAGCTTCATCTGCAGGTCCTGCCTTTCCTTAAGAGATCCTCACTGTCATCTGAGTACTGTATTTGTTTTTGAATTTTTAAACATGATTTCACTCAGGCTGTTTTCAGTTTCTTTTAGCAGGAACATTGGCCCTTATGACCTACCTCGCATTTACGAGAGTTAAAGCCTGAGATCTTGGTGCAGGTGCAGAGTACAATATGGAGGACTCAGACCTATCTTATTTGTTATTTACGTAGTTCTATGTTCTTATTAATTGTATCCCTTTGATCTGAGAGAGCCTATTTCGTTTCCTTCAATCTTCTGTATCTTTTTCTTTAGGAATGTTGGTGACATGTTGCTGGTTCACGGTAATCCTAAGTGGTATATCTTCCTTGGAAATTGTACTCTTTTGCAATAAAATGTGCCCGACTTTGTCTGTCTTATTGCATTCTAATCTTAATTCATTCTGATTAGATTTTAAGATTGTGAATCACTTTTTAAAAAAGTTATCTGCACTCGTCTGCAATACCAGCCAGGCTAGGTTAGGCTTTCTATGGTAAAAAATGAGTCCAGTAAAATTTTCCTTCAGGATTGGCTGTGGCTATGGTCCACCCCATTTTCATTCCAGGATAAAGCTTTCAAGATCTTGTAAGCCGAGCTCTTAAAGCCTTTGCTTGGACATAGAAGAAAGAATAACATAAAGTTATTTGAAAGACCTAGGAGGGAATGTATCAGATGTATAAGTAAATGTAAATGGCATGATGCAACCTACTTTTAAAAACTTTTATTTTGGATTACACGTGCTATAGACCAAGGTATGTCACAGGGGCATGCCTGAGTTCAATAGATAAATGCAATACTCCCACTGCTGATAGTCACCCCAGAGATTGGCACTTAATATTTTGAAAAGATTGCAATGTATAATATTTAGTATACTTTGTCTTTTTAAATTAACATTTAAGCCTCATTTGCTATAGGTAGGCTTTGGGAATACAGTCTAGAGTTGTTGTGCTTTATAATCCAATCAGAATATAGTACAATACATTTCTGAAAGTGAAGTGTTGAAATCTCCACTCCTTTCAGCTCTAGCATTTTCTGTTTCATGTAGTCTGAGGCTTTGCTTTTTGCTGCAAGCACGTTTAGGGTTGCTATGACTTCCTAGTTGATTCATCCTTATACCATTATGTAACATCCTACCTGTGTCAATTAATTTTATTGCTCTGAAGAATACATTCTCTAATACTGATATAACCACTCCTGCTTTTAAAAAATTAATTTTAGCATGATACAATTTTCCCATCAACCTACTTATAATCTACCTATGTAGTTGTGTTTGATGTGCATTTTCTTGTAGATGGCACATATTTGGGTTACTTTTTAAAATTAATTCTGCCAAACTTATAGAAGCAAAGAGTAGAATGGTGGTTACCCGAGGCTGGGCATTGGGAGGATTGGCATATGTTGGTCAAAGAGTAGAAAGTTTCCGTTACACCGGAGAAATAAATGTTTTGATATCTATTGCAGAGCATGGTGACTACAGTTAACAATAGTGTTTTGTATATTTCAAATTTGCTTAGACAGTAAACTTCAAATGTTTTCACCACAAAAAGACTGATATTTGAAGTGATAGAGATGCTAATTTGCTTGATGTAATCATTCCACTTGGTATTCGTAGCCTAGAATGTCACCGTATACCCCGTAAATAGATATAATTGTAATTTTTCAATTTACAATTTTAAAAATTAAAAAGTTACAAAAACTAACTAAAACCTCTGTTAATCTCTATCTTTAATTGGTGTATTTAGACAATTTACATGTATTTTATTTGTTTATTATTTTAGACTGTGATTAATGTTTTATTAATGATAACCTACATTCACACTGTGCACTTCTAAGCTTTACATCCAAAGCGTATGTTGCATTTACATGCAATGAACAGTCCAAGATAACAAATTCAAGCCATGGCTGCATTAATAGTGTGGTTCGTTTTAAATTAAAATGAATATATAATACCATTACCACCCCCTTTCATCATGTACGGTACAAATCTACTCTTCCTCCTTTTAAAAAATATAAAATTGCATTAATAACTGCACTGAGGCCAGGCGCGGTGGCTCAAGCCTGTAATCCCAGCACTTTGGGAGGCCGAGGCGGGTGGATCACGAGGTCAAGAGATCGAGACCATCCTGGTCAACATGGTGAAACCCCGTCTCTAC